TTAAACCGTATATCAAATCCATTGCAAAATTAGCATCTGCTAAGGTTGCATCTCTTTATCGACCTCGACACTTTCTTACTCCAGATTCTATTCTCTATCTCTATAAATCTCAAATCCGTCCCTGTATGGAATACTGTTGCCACATCTGGGGCGGATCTTCTAATGATGCTCTTTCTCTTTTAGACAAGGTGCAAAAACGAATTGTAAACATAGTTGGACCTGCTCTGGCAGCCAATCTCCAACCTTTGTCACATTGTCGTAATGTTGCTTCTCTTTCTCTTTTCTACAAATACTATAATGGGCACTGCTCTAAAGAGCTAGCGTCCCTTGTGCCATCTACTAAAATTCATTCTCGTGTTACTCGCCATTCAATTAAGTCTCATCCTTTTTCTGTGACTGTTCCTAAGTGCTTCAAAAACTCTTATTCTTCTAGTTTTTTTCCTCGAACATCAGTTCTTTGGAATTCGCTTCCTTCATCTTGCTTTCCTGATTCATATAATTTGCAATCTTTTAAGTCATCAGTCAATCGTTATCTTGCTCTACAGATTTAGTCTTTTCTCTTCCAGTAACTTCCAACTCTTATAGTGGTTGCTTGCAGCCTTGTTGGAAGTGAAGATGTTAAAAAAAAAAAAAAAAAAAAAAAAAAAAAAAAAAAAAAAAAAAAGGTTTTACAGTCTTTAGAATCTATTGCGGTTAAGTTCTTGGTTTTTAGGATGAGGAACATATTATTTTTTTGTAGGATCCAAAGTGATCAAAATTTGTATCCTACAAAAAGACCTGCCAGTCCAAAAGTACATTTTTCAAAAAATGAAAGTTCTTCTTTTGCAAGCTTTAAACAACTGACAAGATTGTGTTTCAAGACCTTTTTTTCAGGTTTATGTTTCAAGACCTTTTTTCAATTTTTTTCAAGACCTTTTTTTCAATTTTTGTCAGGCAATTGTTCTAAATACCTTGTTTTTCGTGTAAGCAACTTTGCTGACAGATTGAGTCTTAAATTTTGAGCAATTTGTTTTTTCTTTTAGAAAAAAAGTGGACTGCAAAAGGACTGTGCTTAGCAATTCGGACTATGACAAGTAATTGTCTATACTTGAGACATACTTGAGAGTATTTTGTTGGTTAATGTATCTGTATTGTTTTTATTAGCATTGATAACTTTCTTGCAAGAACGACCCAAACAAGAACTGTTTATTTCTTGATATTAAAATGCCTGTACTTTGTTATTGAAAAACTTCTATTCCATGTTTATTATGTTCTATAGTTGATTGATAATAAATTTTGTTCAATGAGTAGCAAGAATATCCTTAAAATACTGAGTAGAATGATTTTCTTTTAATATAATTCAAGAATTTAGTAAATGTGTGCTATATAAAATGTCCGCAAACCTGTAAACATGATCACTAAAGCAAATTAGCAGTTGCTAAATATAAAACAAAAAGTTAAAGTATAACTAAAATCATAAAATTGATAAGTTATAACAGTTAATCAAAATTTTGTTTTTATTTGAAAATATTTCCATTCAAATGATTTCACGGATCTGCGCCCCACATCAAATCTCAAAATAGTATCCAAAGTTCTTGAAAAGCTTGCTTTATCTCGGCTTCTTCCTCATGTAACTGAAACTGTAAACTTCAATTTTTTTTAGTATAATTTTAGGTCTAACCACTCAACATAAATAGCACTCCTAAAGATATGCAATGACATCCTAAAGATATGCAATGACATCCTAAAGATATGCAATGACATCCTAAAGATATGCAATGACATCCTAAAGATATGCAATGACATCCTAAAGATATGCAATGACATCCTAAAGATATGCAATGACATCCTAAAGATATGCAATGACATCCTAAAGATATGCAATGACATCCTAAAGATATGCAATGACATCCTAAAGATATGCAATGACATCCTAAAGATATGCAATGACATCCTAAAGATATGCAATGACATCCTAAAGATATGCAATGACATCCTAAAGATATGCAATGACATCCTGTTTAACATTAATGCTTTAACCATCATTCTTCTCATACAATATAATTGATCACAAACTGCTGATTGCTTGTATAAAAGATAAATTTGGTGTCACAGATATTGCAATAAAATAACTGACATCATACTTGCACTCTCAAAAATCTGTTGATTCTATTGGTTTAACAAAATCTAGATTGTCAGCCAGTTCAAGTCAGTGTGTAGGCATGAAACCACTCTCTCTGAGAACAATGTTAAATCCTGCAACTACCATATTTGTACTCTGCCACATATGTCAATATCTCACCAAAGAATCAGCTAACACAATTGCCTGTGCCGTTGTTAACTCTCACCTTGACTATTGTAAGTCTTTTATCAGTTCTTACAAAAAAACCTTAGAAAGCTCCAATTTACTCAAAATAGCTTTTCTTGCATTGTCTCTCATTTACCTTTTCATTTCAAATCAGAAAAATTGCTAAAATCTCTTCATTGGTTACCAATTTATCAAAAAATAGTTTACAAAATATCAGTTGTTACATATAAAATTTTATCAAACAAATCTCCTAGATATCTATTCAAACTTCTAGAAGCCTGAATTTCAAAACAAAACACAAAATCATCAGACAGTTGCCAACTTACATGTTGCCTATCGAAAACTTACTGATTTTTCAGAAAACATTTGAAATGCTGTTGTTAAAAATAAGTTTATGTGCTGCGTTTTTCTTGACCTTCTTCTCGCCAAGCGAAAAATTTTTATTATATTCCCAGTATTCCTCTACAATGGCTTAAATCTTACTTAACTAAACTCAGTACATAACTATAAACAAAATACCTTTACAAAAGAAACTCATAAACTCAGTAATTCTTCAAGAATCTATCTGTGGGACTCTGCTCTTGGTATACATCAATAAACTTAACACTTGTATTAATCATGTCTTTGATGGCAACACTAACCTGCTATTAATTAAAGATACTATTGAAAAGATGCACACAAATACTTATGAAGCAATATGTTCTATTGTCAACTGGCAGTAAGCAAATAAAATTTCACTAGTTTGAGGGAAAAAGTTATCAAGTTTTAGGAAGTCTGCCATGTAAATAGAGTAATGTCATCACTTAGCTTTAGAGTTTGCAATAGCTTATACAATAAAAATAAAATCAAGTTGTTAGTTTTGAAAGTGAATGGTTTTTAGGACTTTTTCCTAAAGCAAATTTAGATTTTTCAAGGTTTGATGCACATCTAAGATGGGAATCAAATATTTCATAATAAATGGTTGTAAATGTGTCAAAGCTTTTAAATCTAACTTTAGCTAACATTTCATCTGATTTACTTAGTTTTTAAGTAAGCATGATGAAGTTTAAAAAAATATGGTTTCCATCAAACAATAATCGAAGATATTTTATATTACTCCAAGATATTTCACTGATATATTACAAGATATATTGCTAGATATATTACTCCAAGGTATTTCACTGATTTTCAATTAGTTAATTTGACTTCATCAAGTTCGAAATTCAATTGACTAAGGTGATTTTAATAATTTGGGTTAAAAATTACAATTTATTTTTCAAACTTTTAACAAACTTCCTATTTAACAACTATCTATTTAACAAACTTCCTATTTTCCTCATAATTTCTTCTTGCAACAATACTTTTGCAGAGCATCTCGCTCATTGGAATAAAACAAAAACCTTCAACTCTTAATCTTTTATTTTTAAGTGTGTGTTTGAATTGAACCTATGTTTATATGTATGAATATACGTGTACATATGTCAATAAGTCTTCAATAACTGAAAGTTATTGAAGACTTATTGACATTAAAGTTGGGAAAGGTAATATTCTTAGTTTGGCTTTTGCTATTGTTACTATATGTTTGTACTGTTTTGTTTTTTTTATTATATATTATTAACATTATTGACGTTTACTTAAATGTAAGACCTTTAATCAGAAATTTATTCAAAAGTATGTTAACCTGGGTCTCAAAAGATGTGAATTTTCATATTCATTTTAGAAAACATAAGTATTTTTACTTAAAAGTTATTGACAAATTAGTATTGTGATAAAATGATTCTTAAAACAGTTTTAACAAAACGTTTTTCGGTAAGAATATAATTAGTATTTATCTTTATTACAAATGAATGTTGTTTTTAAAATCTCTGTGAAAGATAGGCTTCTTAGTAGAAGAGACTTTGGTAGAAAAAAAATATAATATTGTTAAAAAAAATAATTCAAAAAACTTTTGAATAATTTTTTTTAACAATATTAGGGATTTTTTTTTTTTTAATTCACCTCCTCAAGGCCGAGAAGGCCACTACAGACGAGGAGGCTACTTATTTGTGGTTATAACCCTCTCTCAACTCTATAACTCCGAAACACGAACCTTGACGCTGCTCGGAGAAATAAGTTGAGCGCGGTACTACCAGGGACGTGGTGGGGATCGAACTCGGAACCTCTCGCTTATGAAGTGAGCGCTCTACCACTACACCACTACCGCATTTTACCCCAAAAGCTAAAGATTTGAATTCAAATAGCTTTACAACTAGACATGATAGTGAAAAATAAGTTGCATATTTAAAATCACAAAGAGAAATGCTATAGGAAAAACATATTGGTTGCTAGGCACAAGAAAAAGTTGTTTTTTTCGGCCTGTGTAATTTAGTTGATTGAAATTGATTAAAGATCAATTTCAGAATCAGAATCAAAAGAAGACAATGTTTTTTTTTTTTTATGATATAGATACGATAACCTTTATAAATTTAAAAAACTATAAAAAAATGTGTTTACCAATTTGTATATGAATATCTAATAAAAGTGCTAAAATTTTAAAAATTACTTCAATGCGCAGACTTTAATGTAAAGAGTTATATATACACACACACGCATACATATTATTATTATTATTATTATAAAATACTAAACAATATACTCTTTAGAACTTAACATTTATATTAGTAATTAAACAATAATAACAGTAATAATATTATTTTTGAAAGTTCTAGTATTTTGTTCTATTTATTTTGCAAAGCGAAGACGAAGAATCTTTAGAAAAATTCCAATCAGTTGCAGTGACGATTGAATCTATCATGAAAGATGCTTGTGAATATGTAAAGAGAGGTTATTTTCTAATTATAAATATGACTTAAAATGCTTAAGCCTTTTCTTAAAAGATTAAGTATTATAACTACTAAATTAAAAATATTTTTGAAGTGATATTTAAAAATGATCAGCAGCCGCATTCACTTTTCTCTGTTAAACTAACGTGGAATTTGAGTGTCCGTTAAGAAAAAATACTCTTAACTGCCGGTTTTAAAACAGAGGGAAATAAATGGCATTCTAATCCTGTAGTTTAGGCACTGTATAATTTTCATCTGTTAAAACTCCTCCGTTAGCCAGCTCCATTAACTAGTTTTTGTGCTGTTTTTCTCATCGCATCTAAATGTTACAATACCAACAAACAATGATATTGCTTATTGGTAAATTGCAGCCAGTAGTTTTTTAAATAGTGGTAATTAATAATAACTCTTTAAATTTTATTAAAACACGCTACAATACAAAAAAATTAGAGAGTTTGTATCTACTTAACACTTAGTTTCATTTTTTTAAATTTTATTTTTATGCCTACACACCAAGGCCTTCTTAAAGAGGCCGCGACAGCTCATTTTCCGTAAAATTAGCGAAGGCCGACTTTTTTACGGTTAAAATTATTTTTTTTCTTTGCTTTTGTAAACAAACTTCAGAAACAAATAAAAAGCTTTATTAGGACAAAACATTTTGATTGAATTTCGAAAGCAAATATTGTAGGAATTTTTTTTACGTTTAGAAATAAGTTAATTACAATAAAAATTTAAGGAGTTTAGCTAAAAATGACTAAATCTCGTTTTTATAACTATATGTTTATTTTAGCTGTTTAACACTTGTAATACAAATAATAAATTTTTTGATAAAAACAAACAAATATATTAACTTTATTTTATTAAAATTATTTTGACTTTTTTGACTCAAAGTATTTTATTTTGAAGTTAAAAGTTTTGCTTGTTTTGTTAAACATTCCTTCCCAAAATCTTCAGAGTGTTTTTTACAATAATTGTTTAAAAAAATGTCTGCCAAAATGCAGCAAACTTTTTTAACACTTTGAACAAGCAATTGAAATTTACTATTGCAGTTAATAAAAATGTAAATTAATCCTTTCTTGCACAGCAATGGTGAAACTTTATTCACAAGTGTCACTTCAAATATAAAAAAACAATAAAAAACAAAGTAGACTAAATTGTCAGAAGGTTCTCTTAGTCTTCCCCTATTCAAAGAACTGATCAAAGTTCCATATTTTTGAAACATATCAAAGCTGTCTGTTTCTTCTAAAATTGAATATAATTCTGGAAGTTTGTAAGCAATAAAACCTGCAATATATAAAAGTCCTTGTTTGCATTCATTTGGCAACTAATCCTCACAATTTTCACATATTGACATAATAAACTCCACATCAAGTTCACACTTATCACAGTGGTGGTGAGCAGGAGGAAATATTGTAACATCTGTATGCTTGTCTAGCAACTTTCTAGTTTTGTCGATTCTAAATTTTTGAATAACATTTTGCACAGTTATCAGATATGTGCCACCTGACCCTTGCCGATATTTCCTAAACTGTTTTTCTAGTGCATCTGATTGCATATGTCCTAACAATACATAAGATACACCACAATTCAACAAATACTTGGCACAGCTTGCTAATCTTTTAGAAGTTTTTTGCAAACACTTGCAGTATCCATTGTTAACTTTTTCTCTCTTAATTTTGAATTTACGCATTTCAAAATTTCAGCAAAATACAAAGTATAGTTCTCTAAGAAATCTATTTGCCAATCATTAACTGAAGTAATAGGCTTTCTTTGAATATCATTTAATCTAATATCTAGACCTTTTGCTTTACTGTTGACAATAAGCCATCACTTAACAACTGTTTCAATAAAAAGTGCAGTATATTCAGCTTCAGGAAATTTTACACGTATTGCTGCAACTGTTTCATCACAAAAAACTTTAAGAACTAATCCAACATTTTGTCGTTCAATTGGTTTTGGTGACAACTTAACAATTCGACTATTTGCAGCATGAAGTTGAATTATAAATTTCCATTCTGCAAGTCACACAGTATCGTTATCATTTAGCAATCTATATTTTAAACATTTTTCAGTGACCCAATTATTTCGAATACATTTTAAAATATGCACAGTGTCATTTAAAAGATAGTATGCTGGAACTTTTTTTGCATTAAAATATTGAAATATTTTTTGGTTTACTCGATAGTAATCCATTATTAACCAAGAGGCTTTCCACATGCAATTATGATTTGTTGATTTAATTCTTCTATCACGCTTGTTTGAAAATTTGTTGTAACTTTACAAACTGGAAAAACTTTTATAACAAGTCGTGGGCCACCAAAAAGACAAAGGAGCATTAGTGCTAATGGTGTATTGTTTGTTTTATTTAATAAAGCTACTTGATGCCTAATATAACTTGCTCACTTAGAATCTGTTTCATTATTAATAACATAACTAACAGCATTCTCCAGTTGAGAATAATATTTAATAACTCCTTTGTTTAAAAAAGACAGTTTAATTTGTAAAAGTTGGCTATATCCAGTAAAATAAATATCTCCAGAATCTTCTAAAGTTATATATATTGAAAACTTAGGTACTGGTCCACAATGTTCATATGATATTAAAGATGTATTTTTTTCTTTTTCAACAAAATAAAATTTTTCTTCACAGTAATTTATTATTGACTTCAAATTTTTTACAATTGTATTAAATTGAATAACGTCCATTTTTTTGAAGTTTTCGAACTCATCAGGTAAAATATTTCTTTCACTGAAAGAAATATATTGAAATATGAAAGAACCAGTGTCTTGTATTCCAATAGTGTCTAGAAAACGAGATGTCACTGGGTTGATATGACTGGGTTGATATGCTCTGAAAGTTTCAGAGCATATCAACCCAGTCATATCAACCCAGTGACATCTCGTTTTCTAGACACTATTGGAATACAAGACACTGGTATACCTTTAAAGACTGATGGAGGATACACTGGAACAAAACTACCACCTTTGACTCTTTTTAATTCTGCATCTTTAGGCCAGTGCTGAGCACAAATTCGCTTATAATCTGTAAACACAAAGTTTGCATTTGGAAGTTTTTTAATCCATAACTCGCGATCCCCGGATTTAAAGGGGAATCTATACATTGTGACATTAACATTATCTTTTACTTTTGATTTGTAATTTGAGGAGCAACCATAAACGCAGCATTTATTAGGCATTTTACGAGTTTAACTATTATAGTTTAAATCAAACAACCAAAATCCTCATTGAAACTATACTTCTCCGTAAAAAAATCGGCCTTCGCTAATTTTACGGGAAATGAGCTGTCGCGGCCTGTTTAAGAAGGCCTTGCTACACACTTAAAGATTACACATTTACTTTATAATTATAAAATTTTATTAATAAATTTTTTTTTTTTGAATTTTGCAAATGGATCAAAATATTAAAACTGAGTAACTTTTATTTCAAAAAATTACTATGTTCTCAGGGATCTAGCATTTTAAAAGGGTGATGCGAGATTTTTTCATAGAACCTCCCCCCCCCAACTTCCCTAGGACAAAAAAAGGCGTAACAAGGGTGGGGCGGACATGCCCCGGACGGTTTTTTTTTAGGAATAACACTGCTTTTTATGTCATTAAATAATAACTAAATTTGTTTTGTATTACATTTGTAGCATCTATTTTTGTTAGAAATTTTCACAAAACTTTTCTTGAGAGGCACGTAATGTAAAGTAATATTAGGTTATTTATTAATGTAAAATAATAATAAGTTAATTAGGTATTATTATAATTATAATAGTTAGCCCTCCATTTCTGGATTCTATCCTTTTCCTGATAGTTTATGTAAAGTATTAATAATCACTTATTAAAAAGAAATTATTAGAGATCTCTAATAATTTCTTTTTAAGAAATTATTAGAGATCTTCTCACAGTGGACCAGAGAGACCGCCAGGTTTTATGTCGTGTCAATTAAACGAAACTTTTTTTATTTATTAGTATTTATTTTATAATAATAGAAAAAGTTGTTTTTTAAAATCTAAACCAAGTGCTAAGGGTCCCAAATGGGGCAAAAGGGAAGATTGAGGGGCCCCAAACCCATTTAAGATTTTTTTTTAATTTTATTTTTTTTTTCTCTCACTGAATTCATTTTAGAAGTTTAGATTTGTAAAATTATTTAAAATTTATTATCTTTCATTAGTCAGGTACAGTGCCCCTAGAATCTAGTAAAAAATATAAAATTCTTATTTTTTTATTTATTTATCAATCTTTATTTTTTAATTTAAATGAATTGAATAAAATTTAAAACAATAAAATGACTAATATTTACAAATACTACTGACATATGGAACATAAAGCACCTAAACATTACTAACTCCTCTTCCGTTAAAATCAATAACAGAAGAGAGGAGTCTTCCACCATATTCTTTGTTTGCAACTTGTCGTTTGAACCTGTTCCACGTTGGTTTGAATTTTGAGTGAACTGATGCTCCACATTGTTCAGCAAACTTAGACAAACCACATTTGTGATGTTCAACAAAAGGTTGCACATGACACAAGAGTATATGTACTTTCCAACTAATTGAAAGTTTTTTTCCGAGAATATCTGCAATTTCTTGAGCAGATAAAAAGGAGTTCTTAAATTTTAGAATGGTTTGCTGATACCCAAGCTCAAGTGTTCTACCAAAGCAAGAGTCTTTAACAATCTTTAAGTCTTTTAAACATTGAACAATTGGCAGAAGATCAGGATATTCATACAAAACAACTCTTTCCAACTCATCAACACACTTTAGTATCTGGTTTGAATTATTCCCATCCCAACCTCTACCTTGATATCCTCTTTGTAGAACACCACTATTTTTCAAAAAAATATCAAAACCTGGCCAAAGATCCAATAATAAACACCCCAGTGTTGTTACTATTCCTATCAGGATATGTAATTCAGGGGGAGGTACTAAATGTTGGATTAGTGTATCTGGATCTTCATCGAGGTAGAGAATTCTTGGATATATTACATTCATAAAATG